TATAATCACTGTATCAATACAATGGCAACACTGAGGCATCAATGAACCCTTCCAATTAAGTACGTGGATCTTTCACACACCTCTAAGGAAGAGAGGTATGTTCCTTCCCAGCAAGAAAAGAGAACTGGATGCTAAAACCATGAATACAAGGGACCGAAAAAGCCATAATAGCTAAATCTACTATTGGTCAACCCTGTGAAAAAGAGGAAACAACCCATTTCAGGTTTGTCAACGTTTTTCTTAAAAACTAAGATCAAATTCAAAACTGTGGATCTTTTCCAGCCCCAGCTGAAATATTATCTTAGGGTCCTTCCTCATACGTAAGAGTGCTGAAAACCAGGCCAATATCCCAAAAGTATAAGGGAAGTAATACTTGGATGTTTATGGGCATTTAAAATATTTAGAATGGATAGTTTTACACTGACAGGCTAACATACCTGTTGGTAACAGGTTTTTCAACATTTTAATTATCATGCCTGTTTTACTAAGGATATGAGTAAGCTTTAAGTGGAATGACCATAGCAAGAACAACGCACAGAAGCAGTTATATTGCAAGAGGCATACACTAACACAGTCTGAAATAAACTGACATGTTAAGTACTGTCCATCACCAATTCGGGTACGTAATAAAGTATTATTAACTTAATATGCATAGGCTGATTATAACCATTGGGGCTTCTTATAGCAAGGTAGTTATACTCACACAGAGTACCCAAACTTTCATCATTTTGCTGGGTACCACCAGTCATCATGGCAGCAGCACGTCATGGGTCTGTTTTTGGCCATGTACCATGTTGAAACTACCTGCGCTGCCAAGCTTGGGAACCACTCTTTTGGCACAGTGAGAAAATCCTTTCTGATGGTTTGCTCATCCAACAGTCTAACTGATACTGATGGGGTGGGAAGACACTACAAAGTTAAGTTGCTTAAAAACAAATAAGCTAGATTTTATGCAGGAAATTTGGAAGTTATTCAATCTAAATAAGCGTACAAATAGCTTCACTTCTTACTTAGACAAATGAAACTGCACAGCTTACGCAAACAGTACAGGCGATAAGAAGCCGGGGAGGTGACAGAGAGGCTGAAAACGCCTCCCCGTTTATAACCGGCTGGTTAAAAACCCTGCGGCGCCCGGCTGCGGGCCCGGGACGCCGCCGCGGGCACGGCCGGTGCCTGTGGTAGTCTCCGTGACACCGCCGCTCCGGCCGGAGGAGCGCACTCTGGGCAGCGCTGCTTCCGTGCCGTCTTCCTCCGGCCGCTCTCGGGCTCCGGGGCGGCTTTCCCCGGCCCCGCTCACGCGTCACGCCGGCCGGGCTGCGGCGGACTGCGGGCTGCCCAAGGTCACACCGCCGGCACCAGGCCGGAGGGCTGCCGGCTCCCGGCCGGCCCAGGCCCGAT